ATATCCTTGCATTAAGATTTTAATTTAAAATTACCAAATTTATAAATTTCCTAATTTATCTATTGATTTGTGGTTAATATTGGTTCTCACAGTTACCACAAACAACTCAGTTCTCCCTTGAATAGGCCCCTATATATATATAGGGTTTATTTCAAATACAACCTATCGCATTTGTACAACCAATGCAACCCAATAAATTGAAATATTTATGGAAATGATTAGAGTTCATTTATTATGATTTAAATATTTATGGAAAATGAATACGGTTCATTAATTATGATTAATACTTTATATTAGGAAATAATCAAAACCTCTATAAAATCACATATTAATCAAATGAAATGGATGGTTGAGATTGAGTTGTATTGGTTGTACAAATGACAAGGGTTGTATAATAACCAACCTCTATATATATATATATATATATATATATATATAGACGTAGCTGGAACCACCAAGTGAAACCAACACACCTACTATACCTCTTGAATTAACTCAGTACGAATCAACTTGAAAACAAACAATTATCCAAAAAATCATCATACAAATTATAGAACTCCATTGCGTTTTTTTTCCTGACCCACTTTTTAGAATTCACATTTCTACCAAATTCTTGAGTCCTTAGAGTCGTTACATGAATTAGATTAAGGATTTGATACTTTTTGTTCTTTCTATTATATAATTTGTTATCTCCATAATAACCCATGTAGAGGGTTGCATAATAACCCACCTCTCTCTCTCTATATCACTACTAAAAAACTGAGCATTTCCGGCGCCTTTTTCGGCAGAAGTTAAAAAAGTCAACTTTTATTGGCGTCCGCCGGAAATCCGCCGGAAAAGGTAAACTGATTATATTATCGGCGGATTACCGGCGGATTTCCGGCGGACTTATTTTTTTTAATTTTTCCGCCGGAAATCCGCCGGTATTTTTTTAGAAAAATTATTTTTAAAAATTAAAAAAAAAACTTTTAACCTTTTCCGGCGGAAAATTAAAAAAATTTTAAAAAAATAAATCCGCCGGAAATATTTTTAGAGAAATCTTTAAAAAAAAAAATAAAAAACAAATCTTTTAATTATTTCCGGCGGATTTCCGGCGGACAAATAATAATTTAAAAAAAAAATAAATCCGCCGGAAATATTTTTAGAAAAATATTTTTAAAAAAAATAAAAACAAATCTTTTAATTATTTCCGGCGGAAAAATAATAATTTTTAAAAAATAAAGAAATCATTTTTAAAAATTAAAAAACATTAACGGACCATATTGGGCCTTAATAAACCGTATTGGGCCTTAATGAACCGTATTGGATCGGATTGGGCCTTAATGAACCGTGTTGGGCTTTAACGGACCGTATTGGGCCTTAATGAACCGTATTGGGCCTTAATGAACCATATTGGATCGGATTGGGCCTTAATGAACCATGTTGGGCTTTAAAGGACCGTATTGGGCCTTAATGAACCGTGTTGGGCTTTAACGGACCGTATTGGGCCATAATGAACCGTATTGGGCCTTAATGGATCGTATTGGACATTAACGGACCGTATTG